AATTTTTGACATTTAATTTAAAACACTTCTTTAAAAATCGTCAATGAATTTGTTATATCAGATTTGCATCTATTTAGACCTGAATATAAATCATTCATACAAATCTTGCAAAGTATTATTAAAAATATATCCGAATAATTGCATAATATGGAAACTCATAAATAAGATATTTCTGAAACGAAACCTCTATCCTGGAACTTTGCCTTGAAACCTAATGATTTCTAAATACAGTGAGAACCAGAAAACTATGAAATAGGAAGACGACTTTTAGTATAAAGTTAAACTTTAAAAAGTCCAATGAGCATGAGAGACAGCAATCTTGCACAGTGTAAATAGACCCATTTCAATAAACTTATGATTGAATGACTATATATTATAAACTATTTGCTTTGTGACAAAATCAACAACAATCAAGTATTTCTATAATGTCGTCCACCTATTCCATTGTTTTCTGGTTATCACTGTACATATATACATTATATTCTGTGCAATACATCTTAAATTCCATCATAGGAAGTCGTTAAAACTAACTGCAAGCAATTTCTTCAAAACGAAATTTCTGGTTTATGTTTTTTAAACACCTGATTGTCTTATCTTAAAGTTTTCAGAACTTAAGAAAATTATCATATTTTTAAAATTATGTTTATGATTTTTTAGCGCGCATATCGAGTTTTCTTTGTTTGGTTTTGCTCTAATTTTGGTTTTCATTGTTGCGCTTCAGTCTAGTCTCCAAGTTTCTTCTAGTTTGGCCTTCAGCTAGTCTTGAGTTAGACTAGAAGTTGGCATTCATTTGTAGTAAATGCCGTACTCGTAAAGCTGCTTCCAGACCTGTATCAATCCAGGTACAAGTCGTCAGCTATCAATGCCAACAGGGACACAAGCTCATAACTATCAATGTCAAACCAATGGGCACAATCTAATCAGCCATCAATGTCAACAAGGGCACAAGCTCAGCTATCAATGTCAATGCTCTTAAGCGATCAATGTCAAACCAATGGGCATGATCTTGTCAGCTATCAATGTCAACAGGACACAAGCTCAGATATCAATGTCAATACGGACTCAAGCTCTTAAGCGATTAATGCCAAACCAAAGGGCACGCTCTCAGTTTGTATGCCTCAACGAGGACCAAATTACTATATTGTATTTAGATTTACAGACATTGTACAACGTAATATATCTATGTATGTTAAGGTTTACAAATATGGGGATAGCTGTATTTATTACACATTGTCCTATATATGTCCTCTATTATACCATAGTTTGGCCTCCTGTTGGACTCAAGTTGGTCTCTAGTTAGACTTAGTTTGGACTAGAGTATGTAATAAATACTTTGTAACACTGGATATGTAAACCTGAATTCGTTGTAGTTATTAATTATCTACGTTGTAAATAGCTACGAAAAATCCATATCCTTATTTAACTTAACTGCACTGTAAGTAACTATGTAGCATGATTAGCTTAATTACGTTGTATATATATATCAATGTAAAACTTGTAATTAGATTGATTAAGGTTAACTTGTAACATAGAAACCCCAAATATAGTTAGTTGATATAGGGACTCCGCGTTGATTACTGCGAGAGAGTAATAATTCATTGTTTTAACAAACAAGTCGAGGATCAAGCCCATTGGTCTGGCATTCATAGTTTACAAGATAGTATCCAGTTGACATTAATAGCTGATGAGATCATGCCAATTTGGAAAGTGTGTTTAACTACTAAAAAAGTTTTAAAAAGTGAATAAAAATATGAATGAAAAAAGCAGGAATTTATTGATTGAACAAATTTTAAATTTGAGAAAAAAAAGGCGCATTTCTTATTCTGAACTGCGTAGAGTCTAGGCTAGATCTCAACCGCTGGTTCAACCGCTCCCGCTGAGTTTTTTTCTCCAAAGTATATATCATTCCCAATTTGGTTTGGTATTGATAGTTTACAAGCTAGTGTTCGTGTTGACATCAAAAGCTTGCGAGATCTTGCCCATTGGTTTGGCATTGATAGTTTACAAGCCAGTGTCCTGTTGACATTGATAGCTGGCCAGATCGCGCCCATTGGTTTGTCATTGATAGTTTACAAGAACGTGTCTGGGTTTTAACATTGATAGTAAAGTGCAACTGTGCTGTACCTGGTTAGATATTGGTTTGGAAAACCCTAATTGAGTAGGGCATTTACTACAAATAGACCTATGATTTGACCTTCAGTTGGACTCTAGTTTGGCCTCCATTTGGACTAGAGTATACCTATGGTTTGGCCTTCAGTTAGACTCTAGTTTGACCTCCCTTTGGACTTAAGTAAGTCTCCACTCTCCAGTTAGACCTTCTATTGGATGGGTTTATGGAACAGAATTGCAGTTTATTCTGTTGAACACCCTTTATGTAAGGTTTAGGGGACAGAATTATAGTTTACTAGACTTTTAGGGCGCTTCGCGCCCATCTTCTATTTAAATTGTGAACATGTTCTTTTTGTTTACATTTTAAAACAAAGAAGAAAAATTTTTTTGCGGATTTCTAAAAAAATTCGTGGATTTTCAAGAATTTAATTTTTTTTACAAAATTTAAAACTATTACAATATTTCAGTTTATAATGCGGGACACCCTGTAGTTTAGGTTTAGGGGACAGAATTAAAGCTTTTTATAAAGGACACCCTGTATGTAAAGTTTAGAGGACAGAATTGCATTTTGTCTAGGATCGTGCTTCAAGATATTGTTCTAGCCCAGGCATAAACTTTCAACTAATTGCTACTGTCATATTGTCTGTTTCAACTAATTAGCTATGTACACTATAGAGATTCAATATATATTCATCATACTGCCAACTACTCTGCTACTTCAAAACATCATACTGCCAACTACTCTGCTACTTCAATACATCATACTGCCGACCACTCTGCTACTTCAAAACATCATATTGCCAACCACTCTGCTACTTCAAAACATCATATTGCCAACAACTCTGCTTCTTCAAAACATCATACTGCAAACTACTCTGCTACTTCAAAACATCATACTTCCAACTACTCTGCTACTTCAAAACATCATACTGCCAACTACTCTGCTACTTCAATACATCACACTGCCAACTACTCTGCTACTTCAAAACATCATACTTTCACATACTCTGCTACTTCAAAACATCATACTGCCAAATACTCTGCTACTTCAATACATCATACTGCCAACTACTCTGCTACTTCAATACATCATACTGCTAACTACTCTGCTACTTCAATACATCATACAGCCAACTACTCTACTACTTCAAAACATCAGAACTGCTAACTACTCTGCTACTTTAAAACATCATACTGGCAACTACTCTGCTACTTCAAAACATCATACTACCAACTACTCTGCTACTTCAATATATCATACTGCCAACTACTCTGCTACTTCAAAACATCATACTGCCAACTACTCTGCTACTTCAAATATCATACTGCCAACTACTATGCTACTTCAATAAATCATACTGCCAACTACTCTGCTACTTCAATACATCATACTGCCAACTACTCTGCTATCTCAAAACACCATACTGCCAACTACTCTGCTACTTCAAAACATCATACTGCCAACTACTCTGCTACTTCAAAACATCATACTGCCAACTACTCTGCTACTTCAAAACATCATACTGCCAACTTCTCTGCTACTTCAATACATCATACTGCCAACTACTCTGCTACTGCAAAACATCATACTGCCAACTACTCTGCTACTTCAATACATCATACTGCCAACTACTCTGCTACTTCAAAACATCATACTGCCAACTACTCTGCTACTTCAATACATCATACTTTCAACTATACTCTCCTACTTCAAAACATCCTACTGCCAACTACTTGAAGTTAAAGGTTCCTGGGTTTTATTTTCCTTGTTTGAAACTAGAAACTAATCTCTATAACTAATATTTACAAAAAGCAGGAGTTTGAAAGTTCCAATTTTATAATCCTGTCAAAATATTGAGGTTTACAACATAATCTTTGATCCCCTGATATTTTGTTAAATCTAGTTGTAAAGTAAACCCCGGCGCCACATATCCTTCATGCATTAACTTTATTCTAATCGATTTTATAAATAATTTAGAATCCGGAGAGTAATATTGATCTCAGTGTTTTTTTCTTATTTTAGAATTTAATTGAAAATTATGAAATTATAAAATTTTTCTAAATCAAAAATCTAATTTTCTGTAATTTAAAATTTTTTAAAGATTAAAGCTTTTCCTGAAAATCAGGATTTAAAAATCCAAAAATTTGTACAAAAAAAATCCAAAAAATTTATAAAAAAACATCTAACTAAAATGTAACAAAGAAATATTTTTAATTGAGCAGAGCAGACGATATTTAAGTTTAATTGTATTTGCTTGCTGTGTTGAACTTAAAAAAACAATAAGGAGAAAATTCTTTGTTACGTTTCTAAAGTTTGGTTAATATACCAATTTTCTAAAATTTTGCACGATTAAAGCCTAATTAAAGAGAACTTTTTTGCTTAATTACTACTATTCACTTAATTTAACATTTAGTGTTTTTTTTCTATAATAGTTGAGAGAATTAAGAAAGGACTGGATGGGATCAATGACAGTTCTATTTCCCAAGCTAAGATAATACAGATCGGTCTCCGCCCAACCAAATGCATAATGGAACCTCTTCTCTATCTATCTATCCATCCAGCGGCCTTGGTTGGGCGTGGTTTTCGGCCCTATCCACTCCATGACGAGTAAATAGCTCTAACTCCCTTCAACTCTTCTATAGATGTTCGGTAGCCCTGATTATTCAAGCTTACAATAGCCCCTGTCTATTCTCTATACATACCATTAATATACACAATAATATTCTTTACTTGTCATTCAACCCCCCCTTTGCNCAATGATTTTTTATGTGAATGATGGATCCTATGTCAGGCTTCTATATATTGCAAACATTTTTATAAGTAATCAAACAATTACCTACATTTTATATATTGCACACATTTTCCTGCCCAGTCCGGTTGAGATCTCTATTCCCGCATTTTCTTCAGGAATCGCTCAGTCGTCTAGTGAACCCCGTGTGGGGAAGATGCCTACAGAGTCTCCCGGAACTCAGCACACACCGGTAAGGTACGACAACAAATCGAGGAGTAAAGTAGTAAAGCATGTCTTCAGGTTTTAAAAAAGTGATATCCAGTGAAAATATTGTATTTGATCCAGATCCCTCTGCATTCAATTCTGAACAATCGAATTGATAAAAAGACAATTCTGAGAAGTTTCCAGATTGAAAAGGGACACAATAGTATTATAATTACACAGTGTTCTGACAGAATACCAATTATAAACATAAAAATACATCTTGATGTTTTTAAATAATACAAACAAGGTTAAATAAAGATCCTGGTCTTTAAATATAATTAAATAAAATGAACTGTCAAATTTTTTTGGATAATTTCAACACGTCTCTTTCCTCTCTTTTCATAACGTTTCTTTCTATACAATCCTCTTTACATACAATCCTCTTTACATACAATCCTCTCTACATAAAATCCTCTTTACATACAATCCTCTTTCCATACAATCCTCTTTACATACAATCCTCTTTACATACAATCCTCTTTACATACAATCCTCTTTACATACAATCCTCTTTTCATACAATCCTCTTTTCATACAATCCTGTTTTATTTCAATCCTTAATCCATACAAACCTCTTTTATAACATCCCTAAATCCATACAATCCTCTTTTATTACAATCCATAATACATACAATCATCTTTTATTACAACCCTTAATCCATAAAATCCTCTTTTATCACAATCCCATATTCATACAATCCTTAATCCATACAATCAATACAATCCTCAAATTGTTTGTCCATAAAAACATATCTAGCCTTTTAGATTATTTTCCATAAAAAAAAATGTCTTTTTACTTTACCTTCTTTTTTGTCGGACTGCAAACTGCAGTAGAAACTAGTTAATATGAAAAGGTCAGGAAGGATGTAACTAAGAAAGCTGGTTTAAATACAAGTTTAATTTTTATTCAATTACTTTCGTGTACATCTTTTCCTCACGTTGCTAAATCGTTGAAAACTAACTTACTTAAAGTTTAGAATATCAAAGATGTTCACCATGAGGTTACAGAAATATAAGGATTATAAAATTAGAGTTTAAAGTGGGTGTAATCAAATTATTTTTAATGATTAAGAAACATTAGGTTTTTGTGTTCACATGTAAATGCTTGATAATTAATTATCTTAATTTGGTTCTTACTCTTTTTAAAAATTGAAAACTTTGACTTTTTAGATTTTAAATAAAAACAGGAGAGGATTTTATAACTAATTTATGATTACAATTTTCAAATCAAAAATGCAANATCAAACAATTACCTACTTTTTATTCATTGCACGCATTTTTATACGTAATCAAACAATTACCTACTTTTTTATTTATTGCACACATTTTTATATGTAATCAAACAATTACCTACTTTTTATTTATTGCACACATTTTTAAACGTAATCAAACAATTACCTACTTTTTTATTTATTGCACACATTACACAATATTATTTTTTGCTCTTTTCTATTTTGTATTATGATTAAAACTTTAATTTATAAAGTATTGTTTACAACTAAAATTATAAGAAATTTTACCAATTTGTACCAAACTTAGATTTTTCCACTCCACCCGTCCTTTTATTGCCTGAATCGGGGCCGCAATAAAACATTATTGGGTTTTAAATAGTTAAACACACCAACACTCTAGTTTTGGAGTAAAGACATCGAAATTGTCGTTTAAACCCACTTTAATGAATGGATAGATTTATTATCAAGACTTTTTAAAATGCGCCTTCATTTGCTATTTAGTAATCATGGCTGCCAACGTTTTATCTTTCGATGTACATTTCACAATGAGAGTAAAAATACAGATGCATTTGAAAATTGCAGGACAAATATTTATTAGTTAAGCAAAGGCCGAAAAGTACTGTTGTCAATCAAAAAAGTTTTTATTGACTGTCCGATTTTCTCCTTTGAACCTTTTTTATTTTGTTTATTATGAAAAAAAGCTTATGATTTTTCTATTGATATCTGCTCCTTTTTAGAAATTCTGGCCGTTTTTGGTCTTTTTCTGCGGCGATATAACGTCAAAAAAAATGTAATCCCGATTGGCTCGGCCATTTTCTTGTTTATTGGATATAAACAAATCAACACATAAACTAGTTATTTAATAAACGTATCACGGGGATTTTTTCTTTGTTACTTTTTGTCATGTTTTTCTTTTGTTGCAGCCTGTGCTTTGATAAATTCATTCGTGGTTAAAATAAATAAAACCTTTTAACATTGTTCTCATTTTTCTTGCTAATAGAGTACATTAGATCTAAAGTATGCTCACATTATATAAATTCCATGAAACTACTTTTTCAATCAGAAATCATTGAAATATCGGGATAAGATTAACCATTACCATAGTTTGAAAGACTTGCAAATATTGTGTTGACTATTTTTGGTTCCGTCATTTATATAATTGAATTTCGAATCAAGGAGGTTATTGTTCCCGAAGATTTGAGGGGGTGGGGTGGAGGGGGGGGGCTCTGGCCAAAAAAGGTGTACCCTGCTTTCCAAGGGGAGGGAAAGCGGAAGGAAGGATGAGATCAAAGAGAGGGGGGTGGCAAAAATACATTACTGAAGTAATGACTTTTCTTGTACGATCCTCTTTCTAGGATTAACTTGGAACCATTTTTTGTTGATGAAATTTTTGCTAGAATAAGCAGTTTCTATTGGGACTGAGAAATGTAATTTTAATTGGTCTTCCATGTTTAAAGAATGCAATTGTTCGATTCACAAATGGTATTTTACGGATCTTGTTCTGAGTAACAATTGAAGAAGTAAATCGTTAAAGTGTTGAGGTGTTAAAATCTCATGATATCCTTCAGTGTTGACAAAAATCCGCGAGTGACTTTTTTCTAAATCCATTTAAAAATAATCATTTTTTAGTGAGAAAAACAAGAACTTCTTATATATCCTTTTAAGGAATACTTTTGTCCCTGCAAGGCAAATTGATTTAAAGTTATGGTCTAGCATGTTCATTGCACACAAACATAGAATACTACTTTTTATGCACAATTCATAGATGTATTTATATAGTTCGAACCATATCAAGAACTCGTTTAATATCAAGTTAATGGACCTAAATTCAATTTAATTAAGTTGAAGCGAAATAAAAACTATCCGTTGATATGGTGCGAAGCATAGATTATACACTTTACAGAGACACCATGATCAAAAGTAATATGAATTCCAACGATTTTTAAAGTACACTGTGCACTGCACAGACACAGTGTACAGTTTTTATAGATTCGTTATTTCAGAGCCCAAAACTTAAGACAGGGTATCGTTTTGAAAACCAGTTTTATATTTAATTTTCCAATTTTTAGAATCTTTAAGATCAAAATCTCTACAAAAGTTAAGACCCCAAAAAGGAAACTCGAGAGTTTCCTTCAATGATACTCTTTTTTAAATTGCTTGCTCTGGGGTGGGGTTTTCAACGTTGGCTGTATTTTTACTAACTCTTATTCATCATCTAAGTCAGATTAAACTAAAAATCAGATTTAAAAATTATAATTAAAATCCATATTCAGACAATTTTAAAATGAAAACATGTATATTTCAACCTGATTTCACTCTGATTACATTACCCGTTTTATATCTCAAACTAAATGATTTTTTTAAAATTGGAGGGAGGGGCAAAATACTTTGCCCCCCTCCAACTAATTGCGTCGTATTATGCCACGCCCTTTAATTGGGGTTGTCAGCTAAAATTTATAAAATTCAAATTGCCTTCAAATAGATTGCATGGCTACTGAACCATATTTTTAGTTATTCTCTAGTACATCATGTCATCATTGTCGTTATCACTGCAAGCATCGTGCTTGTTCAAATAAAAATGTTTTAAAAAATGGTTTTCCAGTCTCACGATCCATTAAACTGATTTATAAGGAATCCACAGCGTTAGCGTACACAGTCAAGAAAATAGGGTCAAGCTTAATATATTTGAAACTTTAGGTTAATAAGGAAAAATCCGGGAAAAAGTTTAATATTCGCAAACATGTTCGTGTACAGTCTTTTTTACTGGGTACAAATTTAATCCCTTAATGGCCACCCATTTATTTGAATTTAAAAATGAAAAAGAAATATATTTCGTTATTTTTCCTGCGTCATATTAATCCTTTGCAATTAGCAACAGAAGGCTGCTGCAAACCGAAGTTTTTAAGGTTCCAAATAAATATTCCGATGGGAGGGGGGGGGGGGTCCAATCGGAATTATGTTGCGCGAAATTGCGTTGAATTGTGCGGAATTGCATTGAATTGTGCGGAATAAAAGGGCTCGGAATGATTAAAAGCCACTTGCGTTGAAATCCCTATAAATATATAGTGATACTACAGCCCGTACAGGGTTACCAGCAAAGGATGAGACTTCAGAGACGATTGTACAGAATTTATACTGGCTATTGGCATGTATTTATGATTCACTTGTTGCCATGTCATTGTCAATAAATAGGCTATTAAAATACAATATTCAAAGCTTAATTTAACCTTGTAATCATTGCCATACTTTATGAGTTTCAGGTCGTCTTAACAGTTTCATCCTTTGTGGGTAACTCCGTAAAATAGTATCATGTTTAGTGACTAAACCTGCAGATGACTCAAAATCCAGACCAGAAACATTTATAATACTAAACATGACTTGTCATTGTACTGTAAACTTAAATACAGGGGTTTAAAACAATATTAACTAGAATTAACTATTTATATAACACTAAAAACTCAGGGTGCTTTGATTGTAATTGTCTATGTAATAAATAGTAAGCTTTTCAGTTTTATTCTTTCTTATAAAAAAGTACATCAGAAAAATATATTTTTGTCAAATATTAACATTTTTTTAAACATGTAATTATAAATTTGTAGCTCACAAAGTTATATTTTAGATTTTTGAAAAACACATATCGACTTTTTCACCGTATTGCAAGTCTGAAGTAAAAAAAGCCAATATGTTTGAGCGTTCAAGTCGTTTTTAAGTAAAGGAGAAATCAACCTGAAAGGGGGTTGATATCCCCCCCCCC